TAAGCCTCTCCACCAATGCAGCCATCCAAATCAGACCAAATCAAACCAAATTAGAAACAGCTGACCCGAACATCGGGGAGCTCTTGCTCCCCAGACTGATAGCTGGGATACCAGCACGGGACTGATCCAGACACCAGGAACGTGGGTTTCACTGAGGAGACCTCAGAAATCTACGGGACCTCCTGTAGTGGTTCAGTACTTACCCCTAGCATAGGTGTGGACTTTGGGAGCCCATTCCACAGAGAGGAATACTCCCTGAGCCAAGACACACCGGGGTGGGCCTAGGCCCTATCCCAAAGATACCATAGACTCTGGTGACCGCCCCCTATGGAAGGTCTCACCCTCCCTGGGGAGCAGAAAGGATATGGGATAGGTAGGGTTTTAGTTGGAGGGGAGGGAGAGGGAACTGAGATTGTCATGTGAAACAATCTTGTTTCTAATTCAAATAAAAAAAAAATCTGCAGAAAAAAAAAGAAAAGAAAAAGCCCACGTTTAATTGATACAACACTCCCGGATGGCCTTCCAGCCCCCCAGAGAGGAGACAGGAATGGGAGATCAGAAAAACCACAAGTCTGTTTTCTGGGGGGCAGTTTAAATACCCTGTGGGATGGTCTTGAGCATCTCTGGGGGAGGGGTCATCATTTGGCGGGCTTTCTGAGACGCATCAGGGCTTGGAGGGAGATGGGGGAGGGGGCTTGGGTGAAGCTTCCACCTTAACATCCCAGAGTGTTTGGGGATATGGACGCTGGTTCTTGTCTGGCTTCTTCCTGCTGACAGGGGAGGATGTGGGGGAGGGGGAGAGTCAGGAGTTGGTGGGTTCACGCTCAACGGAAGGTGTGGGTGAAGAAGCATTGGGTTAGCTGCCATCCTGGAAACCTCAGGCACCTGCTTCTTGAGGTGGACAGGTGACTAGGAGAAAAAAATAGATTGTCATCATTGGCCCTAATTGTACTGACAAAGGTGAATGTGTCAGGAAAAAGAGCAAATAGGCCCTTTATTGTGGTATCTTGGAAAACCGGAAGGTGGAGGGTCCCAGCTGCTGGACGGACCAAGTATCCTGAAGAGGTGCCCACTTGAGCCTGGAGATGTGTTACCAGGTACCAGCATGGATGTCCAAGGAGCTTGGCAGCTGAAGGGGTGGTGAGGATCACAGTGTAGGGTCCTGTCCACCAGGGCTCGAGAGACTTAGGAGCAAGCTGTTTGAGGAGTACTCTGTCCCCTGGGGAGAGTAGGGCAGGCTCAGGGGCAGTTTGGTCCATTGGTGTGGGGCCAGGGAGATATCTGCCAGCATGTGAATGGAGAAGGGACCTCAGAAGGGAGAGACAGGGAAGGTATCCAGCCAGTGGAGGGGTCTGGGCTGGGAGGTAGCGATTAAGGAGGAAGAGCCTTCCATAAAGTAGCTCAAAAGGACTTAGGCCTGGAGGAGAATGTGGGGAGGCCCGGAGGCGGAGGCCAATGGGAAGGGCAATGGGAAGAAAGGGGGGCCAAGATAATGGGAGCTCAATGGAGAGTTTGATTAGCTGTTGCTTGATGAGTCCGATGGCCTTTCCCGAGGACTGTTGATGGTAGGGGATGAAGAGCTTCCGGGAAATGCTGAGAGCTTCTGACAGGAGCTCTACGACCCTGGAAGTGAAGGCTGGCCCACTGTCCGTTTGGATGGCGTGCGGCACAC